AGGGATTCAAAATGTTACCTAACTGGGCAGACACTCAATAAATGTCTATTTGAATAAATCAATCAATGAATGAACAAATATTTAATGATTTTTTTGTATGCCATAATCACATAGTTCACAACTTTTACCAATTATCACATGAAATTGCAAATACATTTTTATCCTCTGCAATAAATTAAGAGCTAAAACATAACTTAGTAAAAAAGAAATACTCAAGAATGGAATTCAACTATCATAAGTGAGTCAAACTCTTAGAGATCATTAAGGTAAGACTGAAACGAAACTAGACTTGGAACTGTACACTGATGTTAGCCATAATCTCTAATCCATTTTAAAGATTTAAAAGCTAACTATATATTTATTCTATTACTGCTTTATAGCTACTTATTGATATGGTTACAAAAACAGGAATTACTAATATTTATGGATGAAGCCACTATATTGTTTTCCTCTTAATCAAAAATGAGCATTTCAATCAATCATGACAATGAATCCATTTGAAAAAACTACACTAACTGGTTATATAAGGGAGTTCTTTCACAAAGTTAGATTCAGGATTTTCCCACTCCTCTTCTCGATATGGCCTAATACTCCCTAACCCCAACCCAACACAGAAGGGGATAGCTATGTAGATATTTTTTAAAGGAAGAATCCAAGCAGCAACAATCTAGAATGATTTTCCACCTTTCAATCTGAACTAAAATCAAGTACCAACTCAAGAAGGTAGGAAACATGTCTCTGAAGGTCTTTGTTTTTCATCTTTACTTTTCATGCTCACATTTAAAACTTACCATTGGTGGGATAACAGCAGCTCGATGTTGAAGCTGCTGCAGGTCCAATGGATTTGGTTTTATCGGGGATGACACCAGTATAGATCCAGTGGGATTTAACAATGAAGGCTTTGAGTCCATAGGAAACATCCTACAGTTGGCAATAAAAAAAGATAAATTAATATATTCTCATTGAAGACTTTAAACACACAATCACCATCATTCCCTCTAAGCTAATGTGTATGTGTATGCACACACATATATATCACATTAACTCTCACAAGATATCTGAACAGTAAGAAAATGGGAATCTATAATGCTAATTTCACAGATGATGAAAAATAGAACCATTATCTTTTATATAACCTAATGTTAATTTATAGGCTGAAATTTATCTGAATTTAATCAACTATATCTAAACAACAAATGATTTGAACAAAAGCCATTATAAAATGTTAGGTCCTAATTTAACACTAACATACTAATAAGAACATATTGATTTACCTAAGCAGTTACCTGTTATAGTATAGTTACAGGATGTTTTGCTAGGATCACAACAGTATTTTTTAAAACATCTGAATAAGCCACTACCATTTTAAAATTGTGAATTTCATCCAAAATTCCAGACCTCTGGTTTCTCATTAAAAATGGAAAGCAGAAAGCACTGGTAACATGGAACCAGCTGTCACACAGCAACAGTGTGCTGAACTTGTAGCAGCTGCCCCTTTACCACGGGGAATGTGTTCTTCAGTTCACCACAGCCCCTGTCATCTTATACTCCCACCAGAGTACTTGCCATAAATACCTACACTTGAGTCTAGACACCCAATACATGAACTTGGGGAACCAATATACTAGCGTCATGCCTTATGGGCTTGCTCATATTTCTCAATGTTGTCATAGTCATTAGGGGGAAGATGAACATTTTTAAACATATAAATTGATAAGAAAATTAGAAATTATAAAATAATCTACATAATACCAAAAAAAAAAAAAAAAAAAAAACCAAGATGTAGAAAGATATAAGTGTAGAAAATTGAAAGCATTATTTCGATAATGGTGTCATTCACAAACCACCCTATCATCTTTGGAAAGTATTTCTGAATTTCTAGACTACTGTCACATTCATTTCTTAAAATGCTCATCTTTAAGATTACCATCATAAGAATTTTTTCTTTATTTACAAATATAATTACCAAAACCAACAGTGCAAAGCACAGATGATTCTTATTTTGGATGACACGTTTCATTAGAGAATGCTTAAAAAGGGAATACATAGCTTGAATCCATTTATGTTTATTCCAGTTAAAGTCTGGGACCATTAAAATAAAATCTAGATTATTGTGAGATCAGGGAAAAAAGAGTGATCTAGATGGTTGAATTTTCTGGTAAACCAAAGGTTTTATTTTATTTCAATTCTTGTTGGCGAAAATTCTAGCATCTACTATATAAAATCTCTTTTTGAGAAATCATCACTGTAATGCTCATTATTATTCTAGAATCAAATCTTATTCTGGAGTATATGAGATATAGAATGTACTGGGTATAGACTGAAAGTATAGAGACACCAGGATACACTATGAAAGATGAACTCTGAATAGAATTCACCCATCTGTTGGGTGGCTTGTCTGCCTCTTTCTTGTTAAAAAAGGCGGGGGGGAGGCAAAAAAAAGGCAATGTTTGATTAGGTTTCTCATTAAAAGATGTTTTAGTCTAATTCATTTCTAGAATTTACACAAATCCAACATTCTCTTGTGATTCTAGGTGATCCCACTTCTTTCAAAGAAAAGGAAACATCCAGGAAATTAAATATATTAAGTAGTATCTAATCCTATAAATATATGTATCTTTTTACAAAAATCATAAAGATGTGATGTATTCTTCATATTTATCTTTAATAACTAAAAGTACTTATAAATTAATTTGTATTATATTTGATCTTTATTCATTACAAATATGAACAATCTAACATTTTAACTGATACCAAAAAATGGTCATTATTATGACCATTAATGTGTATTTAAATTATGTTTTAATTTTCAGGACACTTAACCATGTTTCTCATGTCAGTATTTTCTTAACTCTATGACACAGGTACAGTAGGCCTTGCTGTGAGGCCTTGAAGTCTTAGTGCAAACAACAGTTACAGCCTATGCTTCTTGCCTCCACCTTTGTCACCATACCACAATGCTTCCACCAGAAGATTATAAGAGTAATCGGTAGTTTTGTTTACAAATTTGTTGGCTGAAAAATCTCTTTTTATGCTATCATATGGAATACATGTAATAAGTCAAATATAGAAGAACCTTATAATATGTTGCATTAAAAAAATAATGATCACACAATTTTGCCTGGTTATTTAAACAGATGAACAGCATCATAACCCAATATTAAGATCATACCGATTACCTTTAACTTGCCAATATTTATATACAAATAATCTCTGCAGCTAGTACCATCCTGCGATACAGGCAATGACAAGCAGGGTAAGAAGAGGGTAACATTCGAGGAACTGGCCTCACCTCTGCCTCTCAGGCTCACCATCCACATCTTCATCAGCACTGCATGTGGCACTGGAATCGTTGTCTGACTGGTGCTCAGGCCTCTGGGCAGTGATTTGCTGAGCCACAACCAAATCCTCATCCCCAGGCTCAGTCTTCTCAGTGGCTCTCTCCAAGTCTCTTTCTTTGGTGTCACCTTCAACTTTAGCTGCACTGTTTCCCAGCACCCTCATTTCAGCATCTACAGAGTCGGCTTTGGTAGTTGCTGGGAGATCGAGAACAGAATTCACTTCAGCATTGTGCTCCTGATGATCCACGTCCATTGGCTCTGCTGTTTCAACACTGATGTCATTTGCCTGGGTTTCCACACTTTCATTTTCAGCATGTTTTGTACTTGGGCCTGCTGGGGAGGGAGATGTACTTTGTGCGGTTTCAGAGTTGGACTGGAGCTCAGCCACAGGTTCCGTGTTTCCTCGAGAAGTACTGTTTTCAGTGCTATCTTCACTGGGCTTGACAGCTTCAACTGGTGAAGGAGAAGGAGCACTTTCTGTATCAGAACTATTTTCGGCACCTTAAAGATAATGACATAGCATAAAAATCTAATACTGAACATGTTTCAGGTGGTGACAGAGGCCATGCTTGAAATCAGTTGTTTAGGATGAATTATACTCCTTTGATGACCTTGGTGAAGTATTATGGCCACTGGGAAAGCTAAAATTTTCTATACAGTATGAAAGTGAAAGATCAAACTGTCCTGACCTTCTGAAATCAAAAGCCTAAAAGCTTTCAATGTCTAAAAATAATTTATATGAAATTTGAAAAGTGAAGAGAGATAGAAAAACAAAACTAAACAAAACGAATTCCCATAAATGGTGATATTTTTGTGTATTTCTATCAGCCTGTTTCTGTGCATTTCTTTTTCTCATAGCTGACAATCTAGAACAGCACTGTCCAACAGGAAAATAACATGAGCCACATCTGTAACTTTAACTTTTCTGGTAGTCACATTAAAGAAGTAAAAAACGACAGGTAAAATTGATTTTAAAAGTATATTTCATTTAACTCAACACAGTTGATTCTCTTTATTCTTGGTAATTATGTTCTACAAACTCGCCACAAACACTGAATTGGTATATATTGGACAAGGCTTGTTCAGTATCAGCTGGAAACAAGTACATTGGGCAACACAAGTTTTTCACAGCGTACATGCCCGCCAAATGACCAAGGAAGCCTTGCAAATATGACTTTGGGGTTACAAATAAATTTTAGTAAGTGAATTTGCAAATATAGAATCCACAAATAATGAAGATTAACTGTATCCTAAGTATTCTCATTTCAGCATGCTGTTTTTGTTAGCTATGGACGAGTCAGCCCCTGACTCACTGCAATGCCATGTGCAACAAAATGAAATGCTGCCCAGTCCTGTGCCATCCCCATGATCAGTTGCAGATGGGACCATTGTGATACATAGGGTTTTCAGTGGCTGATTTTTGGAAGCAGATCACTTGGTCTTTCTTACTAGTTTCTCTTTGTCTGGAAGCTCTGTTGAAACCTATTCAACATCGTAGCAACATGCAAGCCTCCAGTGACAGACCGGTGGTGGCTGTGCATGAAATGCATCGACAGGGACTCAAACCTGGGCCTGCCATATGGAAGGCAAAAATTCTACCATGGAACCACTAATGATCTCATTTCAACATGTAATCAATATTTTAAAAAGTAGTAATTAGTGCTCTCTTCAGCAGCACATATACTAAAATGGGAATGATACAAAGAAGATTAGTACGGCCCTTGTGCAAGGAAAACACACAAATTCATGAAGCGTTTCATATTTTTAAGTAACACACGTGAGGAACGTGCTTCTTAGTTCAATCAAATATATGAGATCAAACGGGCAGCTCCTGTCCAAAAGCAGAACGAGAAGGCAGGAAGGGACAGGAACTGGTTGAATGCATACAGGGAACTCGAAGTGGAAAGGGGGAGTGTGCTGTCACATTGTGGGGACTGCAACCAATGTCACAAAACAATATGTGTATAAATTTTGAAATGAGACATTAACTTGAGCTGTAAACTTTCACGTAAAGCACAATTTCAAAAAAAAAGTAGTAATCAGATATTTGACATATTTTTTGGTACTAAATCTCCAAATTCTGGTGTATATTTTGTATTTTCAGCACATGTCAATTTGAAATAGCCACATTTCAAGTGCTCAGTAACCACATGTGTCTAGTAGCCACCACATTGGACAGCAACCCCCTAGAATATTGCATAGATTTTTATTTTAATGTTGTAACACAGGAATCTTTCTCCACACTGTATCTTTCTATAAATAGAGTGCTTCGACATCTCTACCTAGATATTTCAAAGAAATTATAAACTCAGTATGTCCTACACTGGATTTGTGATCAACACTCTAAAATCATGTTCTTTTCTAGAGTTTCCTATCCCATAACAAACCAGAAAGCTAAAAGTCATCTTTCAAACCCTCCTTTCATTTATCTCCATATCCTGCCTCAACAAGATTTGTATAACTTTAGAAAGTATACGGAAAAATCTCAAGCAAAACCGTAAACAATGAATAATAAATACCTGATATAAGAGCAGAAAGAAATGAAACAGAGAACAGAAAAACAGTAGAGAGAATTAACAAATCCAGAAGTTGGTTCTTTGAAAAGATCAATAAAATTGACAAACCGCTTGCTAGGCTGATGTGAACCATCCCTTTGTCCAGTGTATCCACCCTGAATACGCTACCTGCCCGTTAGTCACCTAGCAGCCATCTCAACTCTCACGGTATCTCAGCGCGTGTGTTCAAGTAACTCTTATTTTACTTAATAATGGACCCAAAGCACAGAAGCAGTGATGCTAGAAATTTGGATATGCCAAAGTTATTGCTGTTATTTCTTACTGTGCCTAATTAATAAATTAAACTTTATCATAGGTACGTATGTATAGGAAAAAATGTAAAATATATAGGGTTTGGTACTATCTGTGGTTTTAGGTATCCACTAGGGGTCTTGGAACATATCCCATGCAGGTAATGGAGGACTACTGTACTATGAACAACAGTACTCCAACGAAATGGATAACTTTGATGAAATGAACAAATTCCTAGGGGCATATAACCTACCTAAACTGACTCAAAAAGAAGTAGAAAACCTCAACAGACCCATAATAAGTGAAGAAATTCAAACTGTAATATAAAAGGCCTCCCAACAAAGAAAGTCTGGGACCAGATGGCTTCACTGGGGAATTCTATTGAACATTTAGAGAAGATATGATACCAGTCCTGTTCAAACTCTTCCAAAAAGCAGAGGAAGAAGGAATCCTCTTTGACTCTTTCTATGAAGCCAGCACTACCCTGACACCAAAACCAAAGACACTACAAGAAAAGAAAACTTCAGACCAATATACCTTATGAATACAGATGCCAAAATTTTCAACAAAATACTAGCAAACAGAATCCAACAGCACATTAAAAGAATTATAGATCATGATCAAGTGGGATTTATTCCAGGAATGCAAGGTTGGTTCAAATTACAGAATCAGTCAATGTAATACAGGCAGTCCCCGGATTACAGGCAGTCCCTGGATTATGAACAAGATCCATTCGTGAGAGTGTCTTTAAGAAATTGTAGGTGAGTCATAACAGGTGCATATGGTTCTTATTTAGCCTTACTTTAGTGCAAGAAAAGGCTCAAAGCCTTTTCAATGACTTAAAAGCTGCATGTGCAGCAAGTGAAAGTGACTGTGATGAAGAATTTGTTGCCAGCAGGGGATGGTTAAATCATTTCAAAGTGAGGACAAATTTATATAAAGTTAAAAGGCAAGTAAGAGCTGTCCGTAAGTTGGACATTCATTCATAACCTGGGGGCTGTCCTGTACACCACATTAACAGAACAAAGAAAAAGAACCACACGATCATCTCAATAAATGCAGAAAAGCCAATCAATAAAATCCAGCAACCTTTCTGGATAAAAATTCTTAACAAGATGGGAATAAAAGGAAAGTTCTTCAAAACAATTAAGGGTACCATGGAAAATCAACAGTCAACATTATATTCAATGGAGAAAGACTGAGAACTTTCCCCTTGAAAACGGGAACAGGGCAAGGATGGCCACTCTCATCACTCCTATTCAGTATTGTACTGGAAGTCCTAGCCAGAGCAATAAGGCAAGGAAAAGCAATAAAAGGTATCCAAATTGGAAAGGAAGAGGTAAAACTATCCCTATATGCAGATATATGATCCCATACATAAGAAAATTCCCAAAAATCTACTAAAAGGCTTCTAGAACTAACAGAGGAATTAAGCAATGTTGTAGGACACAAGATCTACAACAACAAAAAATCAGCTGGTTTTCTACACACCAACAGTGAGAAATCTGAAAACGAAATTAAGAAAACAACTACATTTACAACAGCATCTAAGAAAATAAAATACCTAGGAATAAATTTAACCAGGACTCTGAAAGACTTATACAACAAAAATTATAAAACACTGCCAAAAGGCTAAACCAAAAAAACCCGTTGCCGTCAAGTTGATTCTGACTCATAGCAATGCTATAGGACAGAGTAGAACTGCCCCATAGGGTTTCTAAGGAGTGGCTGGTAGATTCGAACTGCCAACCTTTTGGTTAGCAGCTGAGCCCTTAACAACTGCACTAGATAGATGGAAAGACATTCCATGACCATAGACTGGAAGACGTAATATAATCAAGATGCCAATACTACCCAAAGCAATCTACAGATACAGCACATTCCCAATCAAAATTCAAACAACACCCTTTTCAGAAAACGAAAAACTAATCCTCACTTTTATATGGAAAGACAAGAGAACCCGGATATCCAAAGCAATTTTGAAGAAGAACAAAACAAGAGGCCTCAAGCTTCCTGACTTCAAAACATATTACACAGCTACAGTAATCAAACCAGTCTGGTACTGGCTTAGTGATAGATCAATGGGATAGAACTAAAAATCCAGAAATAAATCCAAACATCTACGGTCAACTGATTTTTGACAAGGGAGTCAAATCCATTCAATGGGGGAAGGAACCGTCTCTTCAAAAACTGGTGCTGGTGAAACTGGATTTACACATGCAGAAAAAGGAAACAAGATCCGTACCTCACCCCATACACAAAAATTAATTCAAAACGGACCAAGTACCTAAATGTTAAATCTAAAACCATAAAGTTCTTGGAAGAAAATATAAGAGCAAAGCTTTGGGACCCAGCTTTTTTTCAATGATATATTATCAAGCACAACAACAAATGCATAAGACAACAGAAAACAAAATAGAAAACCGGGACCTCATAAAAGTTAAATACTTACGTTCATCGAAAGACCTTATCAAAAGAGTAAAGAAACAACCCACAGACTGTAAAAAAAAACACTTTGGGAATGATATAACTGATAAGGATCTAATATCTAAAATACATAAAAAAACTTCTACAACTAAACGAAAAGACAAATAACTTAATCAAAAATTGGGCAAAGGACATGAACAGACACTTCACCAAAGGGGCTATTCAAATGTTCAACAGACACATGATAAGATGTTCAACATGATTAGCCAAATCAAAACCATAATGAGATACCATTTCATTCTGACTAGGACGGCCAAGGAGCCCTGGTGGCACAGTGGTTAAATGTCTGGTTGCTAACTAAAAGGCCAGCAGTTCGAATCCACCAGTTGCTCCTTGGAAACCCTATGGAGCAGTTCTACTCTGTCCTATAGGGTCGCTCTGAGTCTGAATCAACTTAATGGCAATGGGTTTTTTTTATGTTCATCACAGCACTATTCACAATAGCAAAAAAACAGAAACACCCTAAGAGTCCATCAACAGATGAATGGTAAGTAAAATACGGTACACATATACAGAGGAATACTACTCAGTGATAAAGAAAAATAAGTTCCTAAAACATCCGGGAACATGGATGAACCTGGAGGACAGTATGTTGAGCAAAGTAAGTCAATCACACAAAAAAATACACTGTATGTTATCACTTTTATGAAACAATATGAACGGACAAATATACAGAAACTAATGCTCATTAGTGGTTACCAGCAGGGATGGATTACCCAATAAGCAAAGTACACATGAGCTTACTTGTGCTTACTTACTAATCTGCAGTTCACAATTTAACTACATCTTTGATGTGGTGAAACCCATGTGAAACGGTGCACTACAGATTACTAAGTAAACATAAGTAAGCCTGTGTGTACCTTGCTTACTGGTTAATCTGCCCCTGGTTACCAGGGATAGGGGTGGGCAGAAGAGGGGGATTCCCTCTCTAGATAGTAGACACTGGTTATTTTTCATGAGGGGAAACCTAACACCAAATGAGGGTGAACTGTGCACAACTTAAGAAAGATAAATGATGTCACTGAAATGTACACAAGAAAAAAGGACATTTTGGTAATTGCTATGGCATAAATAATTTTGAAACATAAGCAACAAGAAGGAAAAAATACATGTGCAGGTATATATGTACGCACATGTATATGTATACATGACTATATACACATATATTCATATATATAATAAAACAAATATGAAGCACAGTTATGGATACTTCTTAGACATAACCAAACAACTTTTGGGATTGGGTTCCTGGGTTTAAAGGATTAGGACCATAGTCTCATGGGACATCTAGGTCAACTGGCATAAAATAGTTCATAAAGTTTATGTTTTACATACTAGTTTGGTGAGCAGTGTCTGAGGTTTTAAAAGCCTGCAAGTGGCCATCGCAGATACAACTACTGGTCTCTACTTGTCCGGAGCAAAAGACAAAGAAGGAAACCAAAGACTCAAAGAAGAAACTACTTTACAGGATA